TTGGTTGCAGCCATCATTGTTGTTTGGCGGGTCCGGGCTGGGGATTCGAACCCACCACCTTAGGTGTATGTGGCTGGCGCCTTAGCCACTTGAGCCACAGGCGCCGAGCCCTCTGTGATTTTTTAAATTGTCTTGTTCATTTTCTTGTTGGTAAGCTTTAGGAGTTCTGCGTATATTTTGGATAACAGTCCTTGATTAGATGTGGCTTTTGCAAATGTTTTGCCCCAATGAGACCTTGTCTTTACATTCCCTTGAAATTTCCTTCTCAGAGCACACATTTTTTATTACAGCAAAATCTAACTGATCAATTAATTATTTCATGGATTATGTACTTGGTGTTGTATTTGAAAAGTTATCATCATAGGAGAGGCCTATCGGGCTTGGAGTTGGGGCTGAGTCTGAGGCTGGGGCAGGGCTAGGGCTATGGGAGGGCCAGGGCCAGTGTCAGGGTTAGGGTTAGAGTTATTAGGGTTAGGGTATTAGGGGTAGGGGTAGAGCTTAGGGTTAGGAGCTAGAGGTTAGGGTTAGAGTAAGGTTAGGGTAAGGGTTGGGGTTGGATTAGGGTTTAGGGTTAGAGTTAGGGCATTGGGTTATGGGTTTGGGGCTAGGGCTAGGGTTTTTAGGGTTAGGTTTAGAGTTAAGGCTGGGACTAGAGTTAGGGTTAGAGAGTTAAGGTTAGGGTTTAGGGGTAAGGTTACAGTTAGGTGGTTGAGGTTAGTGTTAGGAGGTTAGGGTTAGAGTGTTAGCCTAGGGTTAGGTTGCGGTTAGCGCTGGGTTGGGGTTTGGGTGTTACGCAATAGAGTGCAGGTTAGTATAGGGGGTAGTGGGTGAGGGGATAGAGATAGGGGTTGAGTTTGGGTTAGGGGCTTAGAGGATTATGGTTTAGGGTTTAGGATTAGTGTTTGGGGTTAGAAGTTAGGGGCTAGGGCAGGAATTCAGCTAGGGCTTGGGTTAGAGTTGTGTTATGGTTAGGGTTTTTATTTTAGGGTGGTTGGGGTTAGGGTTCATAGGGTTAAGAGTTAGGCTAGGGTTAGGCTTAGGACTGCGAAGGGACATGGGGTTCATCAAACCACCCCCAAGAAAGAAAATCCATTGAAAGTCTGATCCTGGATAACAGACTGCATTTAGAAGTTGAGCTTTTATGTCCTCCTATGTCTTCATCATCCATGTCTGAGCCCACAAGTGCCCTCAAGCCCCTGTTCCTAATTAATGTACATTTTGCTCCCCCTGGTGGTGAAGTGTATTATTAACTTTTAAATTTCTTCTTTTTTTTTTTTTTTTTTTTGAGGCAGAGCCTCAAGCTGTCCCCCTGGGTAGAGTGCTGTGGCATCACACTCATAGCAACCTCCAACTCCTGGGCTCAAGCGAGTCTCCTGCCTC